GAAAGCATTTCCTCTAAGATCAGGAAGAAGACAAGGATGTCCACCCTTGCCCCTATTACTCAACATAGTTTTGGAAGTCCTAGCCATGGCGATAAGAGAAGAGAAACAAATAAAAGGAATACAAATTGGAAAAGAAGAAGTAAAACTGTCACTGTTTGCAGATGACATGATACTATGCATAGAGAATCCTAAAGATGCCACCAGAAAACGATTAGAGCTAATCAGTGAATCCAGTAAAATTACAGGATACAAAATTATTGCACAGAAATCATTTGCATTCCTATACACTAACAATGAAAGATCAGAAAGAGAAATTAAGGAAACAATTCTATTCACCATTGCAACAAAAAGAATAAGATGTCTAGGAATAAATCTACCTAAGGAGGTAAAAAGACCTGTACTCAGAAAACTATAAGACACTGATGAAAAAAATCAAAGACAACACAAACAGATGGAGAGATATACCATGTTCTTGGATTGGAAGAATCAATATTGTGGAAATGACTACACTACCCAAGGAAATCTACAGATTCAATGCAATCCCAGTCAAACTACCAATGGCATTTTTCACAGAATTAGAACAAAAAAAATTTACAATTTGTATGGAAACACAAAAGACCCCAAATAATGAAAGAAATCTTGAGAAAGAAAAATGTAGCTGGAGGAATCAGGCTCCCCAAATTCAGACTATACTACAAGGCTACAGTAATTAAGACAGTATGGTACTAGAACAAAAACAGAAATATAGATCAATGGAACAGGATAGAAAGCCCAGAGATAAACCCATGCACCTATGGTCACCTAATGTATGACAAAGAAGACAAGAATATACAATGGAGAACAGACAGTCTCTTCAATAACTGGTGCTGGGAAAACTCTACAGCTACATGTAAAAGAATGAAATTAGAACACTCTCTAACACCATACACAAAAATAAACTCAAAATGGGTTAAAGACCTAAATGGAAGGCCAGACACTATAAAACTCTTAGAGGAAAGCATAGACAGAACACTCTTTTACATAAATCACAGCAAGATCTTTTATGACCCACATCCTAAAGTAATGAAAATAAAAACAAAAATAAATGGGACCTAATTAGACTTAAAAGCTTTTGCACAGCAAAGGGAACCATAAACAAGATGAAAAGACAACCCTCAGAATGGGAGAAAATATTTGCAAATGAAGCAACTGACAAAGGATTAATCTCCAAAATATACAAACAACTCATGCAGCTCAATATTTTAAAAAAAAACAATAACAACCAAATCAAAAATGGGGGAAGATCTAAATAAACCTTTCTGCAAAGAAGACATACAGATGGCCAAAAAGCACATGAAAAGATGCTCAACATCAGTAATGATTAGAGAAATGCAAATCAAAACTACAGTGAGGTATCAGCTCACACTAGTTAGAATGGGCATCATCAGAAAATCTACAAACAACAAATGCTGGAGGTGTGGAGAAAAGGGAACCCTCTTGCACTGTTGGTGGGAATGTAAATTGATACAGCCACTATGGAGAACAGTATGGAGGTTTCTTAAAAAACTAAAAATAGAACTACCATATGACTCAGCAATCCCACTACAGGGCATATATCCAGAGAAAACCATAATTCCAAAAGATACATGTACCCCATGTTCATTGCAGCATTATTTACAATAGCCAGGACATGGAAGCAGCTTAAATGTCCCTCAACAGAGGAATGGATAAAGAAGATGTGGTATATATATACAGTGGAATATTACTCCACCACAAAAAGGAATGAAATTGGGTCATTTGTAGAGACATGAATTGACCTAGAGACTGTCATACAGAGTGAAGTAAGTCAGAAAGAGAAAAAAAAACATTGTATATTAATGCATATATGTGGAATCTAGAAAAATGTTATACATGATCCTATTTGCAAAGCAGAAATAGAGACACAGACGTAGAGAACAAACATATGGACACCAAGGGGGGGAAAGAGGGGGTGGGTCGAATTGGGAGATTGGGATTGACATGTATACATTATTGATACTATGTATTAAACAAATAACTAATGAGAACCTACTGTATAGCTCAGGGAACCCTACTCAGTGCTCTGTGGTGAACTAAATGGGAAGAAAATCCAAAAAAAAGAGGGGATATATATATATATACATATATATATATATATATATATATGTAAAGCTGATTCACTTTACTGTACAGTAGAAACTAACATTGTAAAGCAACTGTACTCCAATAAAAAATAATTGTAAAAAATGTTGAAGACGAAAGGTACTCTGGTGTGAGATCATCCAGATACATCACAGCAGAGCACTGGCTTGGCCAGGAAGGCCCAGCTTCCCTCCAGCTGGCGGTCTCTTAAGGGTTCCTGATCTTTGCTGAGCTTCAGTTTCCTCATCTGTGGACTGGGGTTGACCATCCTTGCCACCCCCCTTAAATGGTAGTTTTAGAGGTCAAGGCAGTGCTGATGAGTATCCACATTTCCCTTTTAAAGGGTCCACGAGGAATGTAATTTGGTGTAGCCACTATAGAAAACAATATGCAGTTTCCTCAAAAAACTAAAAATAGAGTTACCATATGATTCAGCAATCTCACTCCTGAACATATATCTGTACAAAACTACAATTCAAAATGATACATGCAACCCTAAGTTCAGAGCAGCACTATTCACAATAGACAAGACATGGAGACAATGTAAAAGTCCATAAAGAGATAAACAGATAAAGAAGATGTGGTATATATATACAATGGGATATTACACACCATAAAAAAAGAATGAAATAATGTCATTTGTAGCAACATGGATGAACCTAGAGATTATCAGACTAAGTGAAGTAAGTCAGAAAGAGAAAGACAAACACCATAGCATATTGCTTATATGTGGAATCTAAAATACGACACAAATGAACTTATCTGTGAGGCAGAAACAGACTCACCAACTTAGAGAACACACTTGTGGTTGTCAGTGGGGAAGAGGAGTAGGTGGGATGGATTGGGAGTTTGGGATTGGAAGATGCAAATTATTTTGTATAAGATGGATAAACAATGGGCTCCTACTGTATAGCATGATAAACTGTGATAAACCATAATGGAGAAGAGTATGAAAAAGAATGTATGTGTATGCATGGCTGAGTTGATTTGCTCTGCAGCAGAGATTAACACAGCATTGTAAATCAACTATAATTCAATAAAATATTTTTTAAAAACCCATAAAACTACAATGAGGTATCACACTGGTCAGAATTGCTATCATCAAAAAAGCTATAAACAATAAATGCTGGAGAAGGTATGCAGAAAAGGGAACCCTCTTGCACTGTTGGTGGGAATGTAAATTGATACCGCCACTATGGAGGTTCCTTAAAAATCTAAAAATCAAATTACCATATGATCCAGTAATCCCACTACTGGGCATAAACCATGAGCAAACCATAATTCAAAAAGACACATGTACCCCGATGTTCACTGCAACACTGTTCACAATAGCCAGGACGTGGAAGCAAACTAAGTGTCCATCAGCAGACGAATGGATAAAGAAGATGTGGTACATACATACAGTGGAATATTAGCCATGAAAAGGAACAAAATTGGTCATTTTTAGTGATGTGGGTGGACGTAGAGTCTGTCATAAAGACTGTCATAAAGACTCAAGTATGTTAGAAAGGGAAAAACAAATATCATATATTAACACATACGTGTGGAATCTAGAAAAATGGTACAGATGAACCTATTTGCAGGGCAGGAATAGAGATGCAGATGTAGAGAACGGAAGAGTAGACATGGTAAGGGGGAAGGGGAGAGTGGGAGGAAATGGGAGATTAGGATTGACATATACACACTACCATGTGTAAAATAGATAGCTAGTGGGAACCTGCCATATAGCACAGGGAGCTCAGCTCGGTGCTCTGTGATGACCTAGATAGGTGGGATGAGGGGTTGTGTTGGAGGGAGGTCCAAGAGGGAGGAGGTATATGTATACATATAGCTGATTCACTTCGTTGTACAGCAGAAACTAATACAACATTGTAAAGCAATTATACTCCAATAAAAATTTTAAAATAAGATTTAAAAAATGGATGACACACAGCTAGTCTATCAAAATAAGGCTGTAGATTCAAAGTACATTGTGTTTCAAATATTTGTTTTGAAAATGGACATTTTGGAAAGCTGGAAACTAATTCCTATATATCTAAAAATCTACTGTTGCTGATAAGTAAAATCCTAAGTACCCTAGGCTAAGAAGTGTTTGCTGAGAAAACATTTAGTTTCATGTCATCACATTGGACTTACGCAAGGAATCAGTGTAGGTGGACTGGCTGAGGGCAGAGCTGCAAGTCAAAGGAAACCATATGTTTGTGCTCCTCTTATCACTGCATGAAAAACACGACTTATCACAAACGCTACAGGCTTTGTAGAGAAATGTTATTGGAAAAGGAAACAGAAGGAGAAAAAATAGCCCATGTATCATGGGACAGAAAGAATTATGTCATTGTTATTTTAAAGTTAAATGTATTAATATCCTATATCTTTTTGAATTTATATTCCTCTAAATTTCTTACATGTGTGCATCTTAAGAAAAACTAAACTATAGCCTACAATATTCAAATATGAAATCAAGAGTTAAAATAAATTGCTGTATCAGAGGGCAGAAACAAAATCTTGTTATATTTTCTCACAGGTATTACTTATTAGTTCAACAATTAGTTACTACTAACTTCCACTATTAAGTAGTCCTATTTTTTATTTTGTTTAAAAAATGTCAGTTAGGTAATATAAAAGTAAATGAAGCAAATAATTACAATTCCAAAATAATAAATAATATATGATTTTAATATACATATAAACCCTGATTTTATATATTATATTAAAGTAAAATACTGCTTGTGTATAATTATTTATTACATATTATGTTATTATAATTTATTTTGTCTAGTATGACAATTCCCAGGTTGACTCTCTAAAAGACTGGTCACCTAAGATATAGACAAACTGATTCGAAAATTCATATTGAGAGTGCCTGGGTAGCTCAATTGGTAGAGTATCAGAGTTTTAATCTGAACGCCCAGGGTTCAAGTCCCTGTCCAGGTGCCAAAAGAAAAAATAATAATAATAAAATTTATATTGATAAGTAAAGGAACTAGAATAGCTAAAGCAATTTTGTGAAAGGTGAATAAAATTGGAGGAATTGCTCTACCCAGTTTCAAGACTTAGTGTACAACTCTGCCATCAGTGTGGTATTTGGCAGAGAGATAGACACATGGATCACTGGAGCAGAATAAAGAACTCAGAAATAGACTCACCACCAGTATAGCCAACTGATTTCTCACAAGGTGCAAAAGCAAGTCAGTGGAAGAAGGATTCGTTGCCTTTTCAACAAATAACGCTGGAGCACTTAGGCACCACGTGAAAAAACAAACAAGAAAACCCCATGAACTTTAACATAAACCTCACACCTTATACAAAGATTAACTCAAAAAATGAATTAAAGATCTAAATGTAAAATGTAAATCTCTAAAACTTTTAGAAGAAAACATAGACAGGAAATCTTCATGACCCTTGTTATAGAGGAGGACACTGAAAGCATGATCCACAAAAGAAAGGACTGATAAACTAGAGCTCATAAAGGTCAAAAACTACTGTTCTTTGAAAGACACTGATAAAATAATGAAAACAAAAAGCCACAGACTGGGGAAAATTATTTGTGAACCACATAACCAAAAAAGGATTCATATCCAGGAAATATAGAGAACTCTCTAAACTCAACATTATGAAAACAAACAATCGGATTAGAAAATCGTCAGGGATAGAAACAGACACTTAACCAAAAGGGATATTTGGATGGCAAATTAGCACATAAGGAGATGGTCAATACCATTAGCCATTAGGGAAATGTAAATTAAAGCCACAATGAGATACCACTGCACACAAATTAGAATGACTGAAGGAAAATATACTGTCAGTATCCAAGGGAGGCTGTTGAAAACACCGACTTCTCACATGGCTGATGGAAATGTAAATTTATGCAGCCATTCTGCAAAATGTTTTGGCAGTTTCTTATGAAATTAAACACACTCATCATAAGACCTAATTTTCCCACTCCTGGATAATTACTCTACAGAAATGACTGCATAGATGCATAAAAAACTGGTACACTAATGCTTATACCAGCTTGATTTTGCAATAGTGCAAAACTGGAAACAATCCACATGTCCTTCAACAGTGAATACATAAATCATGGTATATGTATACAAATAAACACTACTCAACAATAAAAAGGAACTGAATATTGTTACACACACCAACTTGGATGGACCCTAAGGATGTTATACTAAGTGCAAAAAGCCAATCTCAAAAGGTTACATACTGTATGACTCCAATTTTATAACATTTTAAAAATGACAAAATTATAGTGATGAATAACAGATAAGTGGTCATCAGTGTTAATGGAAAGGTGTGACTATAAAGGGATAACATGAGAGAATTTATTTGTGGTGATAAAAGAGTTCTGTATCCTGATTATGTTGATGGCTACACAAATCCATATCTGTAATAAAATTTCACAGAACTATACATACACACTCTCAAAAAATGAATGTATTCCCAAACTGATGAAACCCAAATAATGTTTGTAGTTTATTTAATAGTATTGTACCAATGTTAATTTCCTAGTTTTGATCATTCTACCCTGGTTGTATAAGTTGATATCATTGGGGGAAGATGGATGAAAGGGATACTAGAATATTCCATATTATTTTTGCAACTTCCATATGAGGCTTAAATTATTTAAAAATGAAGAGTTAAAATAAATGAATGCTAATAGTAGTACAGAGACAGAACAGTTTTTAGAACTGCTTAAGTGTGGTATCCATCCTTTTGACTACCCAGTGTGCCTCGTAATGTGAGAAAACAAAAATCCAACATTTTTACAAAAATCAGATTAGAAGGATAAAAGGATAAAGTATGACATTTCTAAAAAGGCTGTACAATTATGAAAGTTCACATGGTACGGTAACATAGTAATGATGATGTTAACATAATGACTAATATTTACAAAGCACTTAATATACAATTCTTAGAACAAGCTGAGAGTATGTATTTCTTTACCACCATTTTACAGATGAGGAAACTGAGATGCATAGATATTAATTCATATACCCTTGACCACAGAGCTAGTTAAAGACCACAGTGGGACTTTCACCCAAGGTGGTCTGGTCCTAGAATCTGTAGAGAATATAGAAAAATGTGTAATATATTCTGAAATTCTGAAAGATAAAAAGAACATAATCTCAATAGATGAAAATACCTACTGTCAACATTTTGATGTATTCTCTTTTTGATATTCCTCCTTTAACTTATTCATTTTTTGATTCATCAATAATTAAAATATTAGCTGAACATGTAAGATGTGTCAGTCCTTGTTCTGGGAACATGGGCTACAGAAAAGAAACTAACAACATCCCTGCCTACATGGACCACCTAGTCTAATGGGGGGACAGACAATACAAATGAAAAAAGTATAAGAAAATTTCAGGTGATAAGTCCTAAAGTAGAATAAAGGATTAAGACAGCAGGGAGTTGTCAGGGAAATGTGGGAGTGAGCCACAGGAACTTCTTGGAGAAGCAGTAGAACATTCTGGGCAGAGGGCATGGCACTTGCAAAGGCCTGGGTGCTGGGACAGGATCCAAGGTCTCCAGGGAGGCCCATGTGGATGGAATTGGGCAAGGGAGATGGAATTTGGGAGAGATCTGGCCAGGATCCTGTCCCACTGCCCAGATTGCACGGCTTATTCAGAAAATCTCTTTACACAGCCACCACTTTACATTTTCATTTCCTTTTATTGCTTGTTTTGTTTTGTTTTTAATAAGAAGATTATTTATTATAAATTCTTCTCAAAAACAGCAGTTTTGGGGCTTCCCTGGTGGTGCAGTGGTTGAGAGTCCGCCTGCCGATGCAGGGGACACGGGTTCGTGCCCCGGTCTGGGAAGATCCCACATGCCGCGGAGCGGCTGGGCCCGTGAGCCATGGCCGCTGAGCCTGCGCATCTGGAGCCTGTGTTCCGCAACGGGAGTGGCCACAGCAGTGAGAGGCCCGCATACCACACACACACCAAAAAAAACAGCAGTCTTTAATACCATGAGTTTACCATTAAATAATTGGTTTTAAAATATTTTTCCATCCACATAAGCAGAAAGTAAGTAGTATTTACTAATCCAAACAAAAGACGATGTGGAAGTGAAATGCTCTGTCCACTCCTTTCCGAACTTTCAACGGGAAGTTCCCTCAGACGTGTGTGAAAGATGTGTCCTCATAGACACCTCCACTGGGCCTTCCTCTGAGCCTGGCCTTGAGGAGCTCAGTGGAGCTGGGGTCATTCCTGAGGTCCCATTCTCAGAAGTCCCAGCAGATCAGATAGAACTTCAACCCTCCCACCAGTTCAAGAAGAAATAGAGGTCTCTCAAGATGCTTCATAAAGGGTGGGGCTGAACTCTTCTGCCACCTTGTGACTGATTCCATTTCTCCCTTCTCATTAAATGGATGCTTCTCTAGAAACTCCATGAGTAGAACTTCAGTTTTCAGGAGAAGCTCTTGACAGTATCAAAGGACATGAGAACCAGAATCCACAAAGGATTTTTCAACACAGAGCTAAGCCTAAATCAAAGATTATACTTGGTAATGAAATGGACAATAGACTGTGAAAGAAAAGGCCATGGAAATCATGTATTTTATGAGTGCATGAGAAGTAGGAAAAGCAGAGAACCAAGGTTAGATGTGGGAAAGAAGAACGAAGGGATTGAATGGCAGGTACCTCCTGTGAAATTCTCTTCCTTGGAACTCAATTTAATTCTCTATCTCTTCTGTATGACATACTCAAGCTCCAGTGAATCCAATATCTCCTTTCTCTACATGCTCACTGATACTGAATCTCCTGCTGTCAGGAGATGTACCTGCCTATCCATAGGCAACTCCTCCCTTTCCCAATAAGGAGACCCTACCACCTAGCTTCACTCTCCTCAAGCCCACTCTGTCTTCCTAGTGGTGAGGAAATCTAGGCTGTCATTCAAGAGCTCCTTCAATACTTGGCCCTTGTCCTGTTCAAGATGGCTGCCTAGATCAAGCCTCTCTCTCTTTTTTTTTTTAATAATTATAAATATGACTTTCCTACCACCGCATCCCAGCTCCTATGAGATAGCAATTCTCTTCAGCTTACCATGGTGTATTTTCAAGCTCTCCCTCTCTGCTTCACAGACACATGCTCCAAATATCCTTAGTACATCCTTTTGTTGGCAGCAATGGCAGTGTTATTTATCACAAACTTCCCATTCTTTGCTGTGCTAAGTGTGTGACAACTTAGGGCACAAATATTAATTCCAGGGCTGATTGCAATGCATGGTAAAGCTATCCAAAGTGCCATTTTAGACTGAAACAAACATGGAATTTTAATGACTTTTTGTCAAGTCATTGGCACCTTTATTCTTTGATCCTGTCATAATATGAAGATGAATGTATGCTTTGGGTGAAATTTTTAATATAAATCATGAAATTTCAAATAAATTTCAGGTTCAAGTAGTGCCGTAATAATAGCATCTTCAGTTCCATCACAAAATGATGAATCTTAAATGCTTTATAGATATGCTTTGGCTAAAAGTTTTGAAAAGCACTTCCACTTCTGGGTTGGAAACAAAAATTTCCACCCTAGTCATGAGAGCAACATGGATAAATTATAAAATACATCATCACACTGAAGACACAGAGACACCTGAATGAATTAAATTCCAGAAATGGCAAGGGGTCATTTGGTGCTTTCATCTCTGTAGGTAATGCAGAAGTAGGAACAACTCCCCAAGGATGGCTGAGAAGAGAAACCAAACTATTAACAAATTAGTATTGACTACATATGTCTGATGTGACAGATTCAAATTCTGAGGAGTCTAAAAGCACTCTACATCCACCTGCCATATCTCCTTCAATTCTCTGGCTGGCTGTGTGTGAGTATCACACTAATGGCTGAGAGCAGGGCAGGGGAGATGAGACAGATTCGTGAACCCTTCCCTGAGTGCAAGATAATGACCAGGAGGAGGGTGCTGAA